GGGCGATTCACAATTGTGCGCCTCCGGGAGTGAGCAACGTGTTGAACAATCAGAATGCGCAAAAGCTGTCGACCCTTTCCAAACGCGCATTGGGCCGACAGATTTCACGCACTGTGATTGATCAACGCGTTGCAAACTCTTGGAGGCGCACTATTGCGAAACGCCCCTGTTGTAGTCTGTGTGGCATTATGTATCTATATCGAACCACGGAAAGTCCATGGTGCTGATATGTTGTATATAATCTATGTATGTTCATATTAGACTGAACGGGAATACATTGCGAGTGCCGGACGTGGAAGTTTTATTTGACGGTACACATTGAAAGACAAACTTTAAACAAGACAAATATACAAACAAACTGGAAGACAGACGGTCTTCCCGCCAGACAAATATTATCTCCCTAGTGCAGACAGTCATTTGTATCTCATTTTCTTTATTTTTATTTACTGTCTTATTTTAATAAATTACATACAATGTTAGTACCTGTATTTTGCCATGAGGAGGAAATAAATGTAATGAAATGAAATTGAATTGTAGTTAAAAAAATTCCGCGAAAAATACCCATGTTACATTGGAACTGTTCAGTCCAAATTCTAATTGTTTATAGCTTTCTCCACTGTTCCTTTTGATCCCGGTTCCATTCTCTGTTCTACACCGTCTTAAAGAAGTTGTACGCGGCATGCAAGTCTGTGCCAATAATTCTAGGGTACAAACCGACATTTTAAAGCGGGCACACTCACAATGAAGACTTTTTGGGGAGGGGTTGCGAATTCTCAACAAAGCGGACCAAGCATATCTGGTTTAGGGGGGTTACAAGTAAACTCCCGAAGAGGGGATCGACCAAGGGGAATAATACCGAAGCGAGCGGCATTTACTAAACCTTATCCTAAAGCTCCAAATCTTTTCTTGTCTCAATAGCGGACCTATTAGTCGTTCACCCCTCGTAGCGACTGAGACACTCAGAAGGGAACTTCACATAAATACTGGAAAGATGAGGACATTTGAAAATCGTAAATAAATGTAAGACTCCAAAAACGATAACGTCTTTGAACTTACTTTATTTGCACCATCGAGGTCCCATTCAACTCGTCCGCAGTACATTTTCCAGCGGTCTACTGTTTCAACAAACATTCTCGGACATTTGAGCCCCCCCCCCCGAGGGGGTGACGTTGTGCCCTGTCTCACCTCCATTTAATTACTTTTATGACCGGCAGTGAGCAAGGCCGGATCCAGGCCCAAATGTTTTTTTTTGGGGGGGGGAACTAGTAGGCGGCGCACCCACCGCACTTTTGCATTAACTGATCGCACCAGTCAGAATTAAGCAGCTGCTCAGAAACAATTTCCTGAACAAAATGGCTCTGTCCATACAAAAAACCTCCATTTAAGACACTTAATATCTTCACTATGATTGATTAAAGAAATCTTCATCTTTTTGGGGGGGCCCCCATCCCCAAAGTGCTAATATAACTCGACGAACAAGCCCAGTTCAAATACGACTCCCCCGCGCTCCGTAGACCCTGACAACACCTCGGACAGATTCCTCGTGGAGGACCGTTAAGAACATGTCTTGTCTTGTCGGTTTCCAGTGTTTCAACCATGGACGTAGGAGCATTCGGTATTAACCTGTCACATCGCGGTCTGTTACCGGCAAAATGCCGAGGTTTTTCTCCAGGCAAGCTTTCCACAAACCACCACGGCAATGGCTGTCCTGACGACCACAGAGTACTCCCAAATCGGAGACTCCGCCCGCTGAAAACTCTTGGACTTTCAGCACATCTGGAGGACATCAGGAGGTTTCATAAAAACTCTCGTGGTCGTGGCATTTGAGGCGGGGTCTCTCTCAAGGCAAAATCTCTTCTGTGCTTAAAGCGATCCACCAATAACGACGGAAAGCCCGGAACGAGGACCAAGGCTTCTTGCAACCGCCTCGACGATGATTTCAAAGTGGACATTGGGATGCTCCCTGAACTGACCGCCCATCCTTCGATGGTGACCAAGATGACTTTGGCTGAGGAGTCCCTCTACCTGGGTTAGCAGGATGTATCCCGTCAGCGGCTGATTATGAGTAGTCTACCATTGTTTGATCAGCAGTGATATCGCTGCAGTGTATTTTTTTCAAGAGTTGAGTTTTAGGAGTTTTTAGAGTTATTCTTCACAGTCATTGGACACCAATTTTGTGAAAATCGGACATACCCGTTCTTGCGTAGAGCGNCTTCTTATTTTTTTATTTACTGTCTTATTTTAATAAATTACATACATTGTTAGTGCCTGTATTTTGCCACGAGGAGGAAATAAATGTAATGAAATGGAACTGAATTGTAGTTAAGAAAATTCCTCGAAAAATACCCATGTTACATTGGAACTGTTCAGTCCAGATTTTAATTGTTTATAGTTTTCTCAACTGTTCCTGTTCCTTTTGATCACGGTTCCATTCTCTGTTCTACACCGTCTTAAAGAAGTTGTACGCGGCATGCAAGTCTGTGCCAAATATTCTAGGGTATAAACCGACATGTTAAAGCGGACACACTCAGCTGCTGAGATAGGCCCATGACGAAAACTTTTTGGGGGAGGGGTTGCGAATCCTCAACAAAGCGGACCAAGCATAGCTGGTTTAGGGGGGGGGTTAAGCTCTCGAAGAGGGGATTGACCAAGGAGAAAAATACCGAAGCGAGCGGCAATTACTAAACCTTATCCGAAAGCTCCAAATCTTTTCTTGTCTCAATAGCGGACCTTTTAGTCGTTCACCCCTCGTAGTTACGGGCCTGTGAGATGATCGCGTTGCAAAGGCACATGCAATGTAGTGACTGAGACACTCAGAAGGGAACTTCACATAAATACTGGAAAGAGGAGGACATTTGAAAATCGTAAATAAATGTAAGACTCCAAAAACGATAACGTCTTTGAACTTACTTTATTTGCACCATCGAGGTCTCATTCAACTAGTCCGCAGTACATTTTCCAGCGGTCTACTGTTTCAACAAACATTCTCGAACATTTGAGCCCCCCCCCTGGAGGGGGTGACGTTGTGCCCTGTCTCACCTCCATTTAATTACTTTTATGACCGGCAGTGACCAAGGCCGGATCCAGGCCCAAATGTTTTTCGGGGGGGGGGGGAAACTAGTAGGCGGCGCACCCACCGCACTTTTGCATTAACTGATCGCACCAGTCAGAATTAAGCAGCTGCTCAGAAACAATTTCCTGAACAAAATGGCTCTGTCCATACAAAAAACCTCCATTTAAGACACTTAATATGTTCACTATGATTGATTAAAGAAATCTTCATCTTTTTGGGGGGGCTCCCATCCCCAAAGTGCCAATATAACTCGACGAACAAGCCCAGTTCAAATACGACTCCCCCGTGCTCCCTTCCTCCTCCTTGCATATGGCATTTCAACGGTGAGTAGGTAGACCCCGGACAGATTCCTCGTGGAGGACCGTTCAGAACATGTCTTGTCGGTTTCCAGTGTTTCAACCATGGACGTAGGAGCATTCGGTATTAGCCTGTCACATCGCGGTCTGTTACCGGCCAAATGCCGAGGTTTTTCTCCAGGCAAGCTTTCCACAAACCACCACGGCAATGGCTGTCCTGACGACCACAGAGAGTACTCCCAAATCGGAGACTCCACCCGCTGAAAACTCTTGGACTTTCAGTACACTGATTGTGGACATCAGGAGGTTTCATAAAAACTCTCGTGGTCGTGGCATTTGAGGCGGGGTCTCTCTCAAGGCAAAATCTCTTCTGTGCTCAAAGCGATCCACCAATAACGACGGAAAGCCCGGAACGAGGACCAAGGCTTCTTGCAACCGCCTCGACGATGATTTCAAAGTGGACATTGGGATGCTCCCTGAACTGACCGCCCATCCTTCGATGGTGACCAAGATGACCTTGGCCGAGGAGTCCCTCTACCAGGGTTAGCAGGATGTATCCCGTCAGCGACTGATTATGAGTTGTCTACCATTGTTTGATCAGCAGTGATATCGCTGCAGTGTATTTTTCTCAAGAGTTGAGCTTTAGGAGTTTTTAGAGTTACTCTTCACAGTCATTGGACACCAATTTTGTGAAAATCGGACATACCCGTTCATGTTTTGAGATGGGTCATAAATTTGGGTCCGTTCCTAGCTCGGGCTTGTGTTCCTTCCCAACAACTATTAAACCAACTCATCGCTTCCTCCAGAAAATGAAACGCCAGGCAAACTGGATCTTAACTAGGCTACTAGCCGGTTCCACAATGTCCCGAGTTGTCAAACTCTAGCGTTCAGATCGTAGGCATTACAAATGTGAAAAAGTGAGATGGAGAATTTCAGACTGTTAGCGAATTACATGCAGTATATGTGGGAGGATCAACAACTGTGTGTACAAGTTCATAGAATTTCAAAACGAACATAAGTTTTAACACAAACCATTTTATTCAGCATTTTTTTCCTTGACTAAAATAAACATAACACTGGATGACTGCCAAAAATTAAGCCCCGAAAAAATATTTTTCAGGGAAAGATAACAACACTGCATTCCAAGAACGTGGTACAGACTGAGCCAAAAGGAATAACCTGAAATGTATTATTTCTATTAAAGAGCACCTCCAAGGAAAACACGTTTTCTCCGGTTTTATCTGGTCAAATAACTTTGGAAGCATCCAAATCAAATGCAGTGTCATTTGTCTTCAGAGCTGAACTATAAAAAGCTTAAAAGGGCTTTTTTCTGTTCATGCCAAGATGTGAATTCTGAATTTAGATTGCGTCATTTTGAGAAAACAGAGAGAAAGAGGTGAACCCTCACCCTGTGTTTGTTGTGGATAAACCCTGTGCATGCCAAATAATGCATGTAGCCAACGTGTTTTCCTTAGAGGTGCTCTTTAATTGAAAATGTTTTTTTTTAATTTCCATTTTGCAAAAATCACAAAATTACATTGATAAAGTATACCGGTAAAGTTCTTCAAGTTATAACTTGTTTCATTTAAAAACGTAGGAGCAAAATTACTTGATGGCTTTTCAATCCTCTACGAAATTGTTGATGAACGTTTTTTCACTTTTGTTGTAATGTACATTTACTCTTGAGAAAAAAAGTTGTCGGATGCTGAAATTTTAGTTTATCTCCAACTTTAAACATCAATCAAAGTCTTCAAAATCTTTAAGTATATTATATTTTATCACACAACCAATACTTCATTCCTCCCGCCCCCCAAAAAACAGCCTGTTTCAATACGCTGGCAAACATTCCAGCGACTACAAGAAGGTTCTAACCCAGACTTAGAGACGTTTCCTCATTAAGCTGGCCGGAATTCTTGATGAAATTTTTGTCCAAGCATCCAGAGTTGAAAGATGCTTCACAGAACCTACGGGTGCAATGATTTGCTGTCATTTCAACGAAAGAAAAAAAAATGATTCTGCTCTTATGAAATAAATATTCCTGAATGCAATGGTGGCCAAAGTAACGTGAAGTAGCCCATGTTGCATGGCGTAGCACTCGGTGATCGTCATATTGACGTTGGAGGTCCTGTCTTTCCTTCTACGTATCTTATGGGAGCTGTGAATGGCAAGGCAAAACAGAAGTGCTCAGTCAATAATTAATTCTCTTCACACTACCTGTGGAGAACCGTTTTCTTGAAGAGGCACATTTCTCTGTGATGAGTAAAAGTAAACTTAAAGAAAAATGTGCAAAAGTAAACTTAAAGAAAAATCCTGTTTGAAGTTAATTGCTTTTATAATTTACTAATAATGAATGTAGATTTGCAAACCCCTATAATTATTTAACTTACATTTGGTTTGGAAATAAGCCTGAAACCTGACTTTTTCAACAGAGAATTTGTACATTTTAACCTTATGAGTTGATTTATTTAATACACTATGCAAATGCACATGCCTTAATTTATTATAAAATAGATAATGGTCCTGTGTAATCCTCAGTTTAACTGCAATTCAGGATTATTTATTAACCTAGAATTTTCCCCTTTTTAAAATCTCAAAAACTAAGGAAATACTATTGGCAAGGCATGCGCTGTTGCCATTGCATTCAAAATTGTTAACACATTGTATATGCATGTGGTTCCAGTGGTTAAATTTGCCTCTTTGTGAAACAGCGAAACCAATTTCGCTCTTCACAGCTCAGTATAATCTCCATGAAGCATACACTTTGCTCCTGTGTGAAAACAAAAAATGTGGATTTTTGCCCCTCAGAGATCACTGTGATTTTCCTGATTGGAATGATTTCACTATGATGTCGGAATTAGATAGCATGGTTGATTTGGCAAAAAACCTGGAACTACACAATTGCAGGTTGAACTTTGTCAAAAAACAACAAATTCTCATTTGTACAAGACTTTGTACTTTTTAAAAAATGTTCAATAAAAAAAAAAACCAAGGAAATCAGTTAATCTGAGGAAAAGTTGCAGGCCTGTAATCATACTCCCCAAGCCATTTGTCCAAGGAAACTTTCTCAGTCTAACATCTATCACATCATGATATCTGTATGTCATCTTTCAAGGAGAATCAAATTCCACAGATATTATCGGCGGCAGCGTATCCCCGTCCTTAATCCTTCAAAATCCTCCAAAATCCCATGTTAGATTTTCAAGGAATTGGGCAGGTGAAGAGTTAACATAGTATAATGAATGTGCAGCGTTGGCTCTCAAGTATCCGAGGTTCACAACCAAAATAAGATAATTAGAAGCCACCAAGAAGGAAAATGGGTGGAAATGGAGTGACATAGTGTGGTGTAAGGGTCCGATATCTCAGACAATTTTAAACACTTTACAGAGGCCGCCGCCTACCTTGATGTTTTCATGTACAGTATGCATAATTAAATAGTTTAAAATGTCGCTTGATGTTGGGGCATTTAAAACAAGCATTGGTTTAAATGTTTAGAATCCACTTTTTTCTCAAAAAGTACATGAATGCAGAAAGGAAAAAGTGTTTTGAAATCAGATTACATTTTACAGGCATCATGGACAGTAAAAATCAATGCCAGATTGTATTAATCAAAATGCTGAACCTCCAAAGGGATGGTTCCGTTTAAATGCTTGGGAAAATCTGAGAATGGACTTGGAAGTTTTTTCATTTAAAGTTTAAACGTCCCACCCTTAGTGCGGTGTACATGTATGCTGCTTAACCCCTTCGCGCCAGGAAGCAGCTATAGCCGCCGTAAAAATTGAGATCCTCAGCCCGCTTTTCAGCTATTATTCTCGGCCCACGCTCGAGCGAACACGGTGAAAGAAGGCAGACCCTGGCTCTTGTATATAGGGTAATTGGTCTTTGTGCGTAGCCCAGAAATGAAAAGACCGATTTTGCATCATAATCACCAACTTCACAATAGTCCCCACTTTGAAAAGAGGCAACGGGAATGTGGAAGGGTGAGTAGAGCCACATGAACAATCAGTCTTTTCACCGTGTAATTCAAAGCGTGCAGTTCCAGGGCCACAAACCGAGAATTTGCGATTTGGCAGGTGGCCTTTGTGGCCAAGCGAGGCTGGAATACTTGGAGTCGGCTTTCGGGAAGAAATTCCCGTCGTCAAGGGGTTAAACAATCAAACTGTATCCAACTTAGACACTAGAAGTTACACTGTTGCTTGACACTTACTAGGGTACTTGGTGGGCATGAGTTTGTTGGTCTCTTCAGCCCAGTTCTTCCAGGGCCAGAAGAGGTACAAAATAGGTGCTGCAACATAGAAACAGGGGCGGAAATGGTAGTCAGTGCGTGAGAAAACCTTATCATTCGAACCACCAAAAAAAAAAGGGTTAAGGGGCACTGCACAAATACGTGTATCAGTGGGATTGCACTTTCTGCACAATGCACCATACAATCTATCACTTACATGTACATAGTATATTTGCCTTTCACTCAGTGACTGAGGCAGGCACTAGACATTCCTTTAAGTTAACCCTTCAAGATCCGGGGGGGGGGACCTGAACACTTTTTGCACACCTGTCGCAGTCCCTTTTTTGAAGCATTGAGCCTCGGGGAGGATTTTTTCCCCAGCAATATCTTGCGGTCATTTTGATATCAATTTTGATACCAAATCTGACACACCATTCTCACCCCTCGTCCATTTTTCCAAGAGAAGTCAGTCCAAAATATGGACTTTTCCAATGAAGTGCTCAATGCCTTCTGGCTGATGCTCATGTCACCTTGAAAGTCAATAAATGACAGTACCAACATAGTCTATTTCTTTATCTACGTATATTTGATCATCCAACAGAGCATTTAGCACCAATTACAGGATGATAATGAATGAAAAAGACAACGAAGAAATGTTCAGCTTAGGAGATGGGAGGAAAATCTCGGATAAATGTTTCAGGGGAAACCCTCGGACTCACGGAGGGACTGAAAACCCAATCCACATGTGGACCGAGCCGGATTCGAACCCAGGCCCCCAGTGGTGGAAGGCGAGGAAAGAAACACTGCCAGCCTGATTCCCCGTCATATCATACGTGGGACTGAGTTAGAACTTCACAGTTTCCTGACATACATGCCAAGCTTAAAAAGACCATCAGACATAGGACAGCTGAGTTCTTCGGGGGCAGAATCTCCTCCTCTACCCCCCCCCAAAAACGGCTCTTTTGGGGTTAACACACTTCATTTCTGCAGCATTAAACAAGTGTTGAGCTTCATGTTCGGTGCACCAGTCTATTTTAATGTTTAGACGTAAGTTAGGCCGTGTCCAAAACAGATTTCCAGAGCCACAGCTAGGTCTACTGTCTGCGTGTTTCCGTGCATTTGCTATGGAGCGAAGTCTTAGACCTAGCTCTAGGAGGACGCAGCCTCAGAGTTTTTAGATTTTATTATGCAGTATTCAGAATGAGAGTCTCAAACTTTCAAACCAAATCTTGTCAAGGGAGAGGAGAAAAAAAAACCTACGTGCAAATCCAAGGACTGACGATGCTACCAAGACAGGCTCATTGTCCCACGCATACTTCAGAAACGGTACCCAACCTGTTAAAAAAATGAAATGCACACGAGCGCGGTCAACACCAAAGATCGTGTAGCTGTGAATACGCGTAATTTATGCGTACTCACTGTGAATACGCATAAAACGTTGTTATCACATGGGCACCATTCTGGTTGGACTACGCCTGCACAGTGCATGTTAATGCACAGGCGCAGGCACCGCGACAGGAATATGTGTCGATCTAAGTAGTCGTAGAAAATTACGGTTGTTTTGTGTCGCAGCTAATATGAAAGGCCCTTGGCTGGTTCCCTGTGCAGTCACACAGTGTTTGTGGCAAATCATTGGCAGTGTGGCTCGCTCTCTGTGACGTGACATGAAAGTGACGAAACAGCCATTAGTTTTGTGCAAGTGGGACTAAATTTGTCCGGAGTGGGCAAACGGCAAAACAAGGCAACTTTTTTCCTCAAAACGAGGAAAAGGCAAGTTTTCTACAATTAGCAACCTAGCGGATAGTTTACACCATAAGTAGTGAACATACCGGTGCACTTTCAGTTCATAAAATCAAGCGGATGTTTAGTTATGCCCCCGGATAAATTTTTCGAAAGAAATCCCTATGAATAGGGACAGGGCCCAGTATACAACAGAGGAGTATTCGTCAGGCCCTGTTTACGGGTCTAGGTTTTGGCCTGTTTTTTTTCCTGGTACTCAGAGCGAAGGTATGTAAGCTATCTTACATAGAACTCTTGGGGGAAATGGAGCAGCATTTCTATGGATACACAACTAGAATAAAATCCCTGTTCATGCCCTGTTAAACATCATGCAGAGCATAGGGCGAAAAAGGCTCATTTTCTGCAGGGTTCGTAGGAGTGGGACGGACGTTCGACCCACATTTGAGATATATATGCAATCATAAGTATGAAGCCAAACCACGGTGGTTGTGTTTGTATTCATGGTATTGCGCATGTCCAATGTGTATTAGACTAGAGTTGCATCCGTTCATCGGTATATCAACAGTAAAAATACTGCCAATTTGTGTGAATTGCTGTGGTCAAGCGGTTACAGCATAATGCCTGGTTTGTGATGAATAGGGTGTGGGTTCGAATCCTGGGTCAAAATTGTGGACAAATGTGAGGGAGGTTTTTTGTTTTTAAGGAAAATAAAGCCCAAATGTTATAGGAGCCAAATTTCACACGTGAAGTTTTTATGGTTAGTTGCGCATCATAGATGTCATGCATTATGCATGGTTGTGAAATGTGCTTCGGCTTCATATGTGTGATTGCTAAGTTATAAAGTTCCACGGCTCGGGGGTAAACATGGTAAAACTTCACCTGTTTACTTCGATTTCAAGATTGCAACATTTAGACCGTCGTGTGACAGCTGTGCCGATAAATCTTTCGCCGCATTTCGAAATTCATATTTTTCATCGATACATATATATATTTACAATATGCTTCTACATATCAAGAGTTGAAGAGAAGTTGGAAAACACAGACCTTTTTTCCAAGCCTGCTTCGCAGGAGACAACACTCGAGTCGCCATCTTTACAATTAAGTACGCCCTCTATTGCGTCTGTAGCTCCAGTGCAGTGCTCAAATCCTGGGCCGTTTTCTAATACTCGATTGGCTCCGTTTTTACTTCCTGAATTTGAGGTTGTAAGCGCAAAAGTAAGTCTGATAGTGCCACAGAATATCAAGTAAGATGCAAAAGAGCCAAACATTACAGCATTTCAATTTAATTTAAGCGCTTCAAGCCCACGATCGGGGATTAGTTTCCTACACGAAGCCGGAACGGAGACGAAGTTGAGTATTGGAAAACGGCCCTGGCTTCCGTAAAGCTTGTACATGTACATTTACACGTATTTAGGTCTGATAAGGCTGGAACCAGTCTCATCCGAACATTACCCGAATGACCTGCTGGCTGCGGCTTGCAAGAACTCATTAGAGTACGGCTGCGGTCGCAGCCACTGCCTTCTAGAACACGGCTGTGGTTACAGCCACTGCTTTCTACTACTGTGCCAGTGGTAGCGCGTGATTTCAAGCCACAGGACTCCTCGTGCACGTACGAAGCTGACTGCTTGTGCATGTACACTGTACTAAGTATGAACACGTTTTGGCGCTTTTTAACTCGGTGAGTAGCCTGCTTTGTGAATGGGCTCATATTTAGGCCTGTTTTTGTTCATTTAAAGTTAGCAAGCCAAGGGTAAAGTCATTTTAGAGAGGCAGGTTGCTATGACCAAAGCATGTCTCGGGCTCGCTGTAGAAATAAAGGCTTGCATGATGTTGCTGAGTCAAACGGAATCTCTCTAGGCGTACTACTCAAAACACGGGCGCGGGCAGAACGCGATGAGGAACAGTAACCGGGGCAGAGGTATCACAGGTTGAGTTGACCGCCGGTGGTTCCCAGCCTGCCATAGCCGGGCACGTCGATTGCGCAGAAGAGGCTCCTCGTTTGTAAAATGCCGAACAAGTGCCACGCTTTCGGCTGCGCTGGCGTGTTGGGCAATTCCAGCATTTTTGGCATTGATGCTGATTCTGTCCAGGAATCGTGATTCCACTGGGAATCGATTCCAATTTTTACATAATGTGTGCGAATGCCATGTTGAGCATACCCGAGATTACATGCACAATGCACTTGTAAGTTGGTACCTAAACACTCGTACGTGTCATTAAAACTTATCCTCTTTTATTGCATCAGAAACACAAAAGATTTATTATCATTACAGATGTTTAAATTGGACATTTTAACTTCATAGAAGCACACCATTTATGGTGAGCTTCAATGAAGTACGCTCCTATGATCACGACTCCGATTCTCAATTTTGAATAGATTCTACCCGATTCCAGCATGGATTCGCCCAAGCCTGCTTGAAAAATGGCTAAACACAGACTTTGGAACGTCTTCTTTTGGGGGGGTTGTTTTGCGTGTGTTAATAATTAAAAATTTCATGGGTTAACCCCCTCAAAAACTGAAAAAAATTGAAAGTTTAGGGACCAAAGAATAATTCCATTTTTGTTTGACAAACCTCAGGGATGTTGGCTTGCATTTTATTGAGCCCTGAAGAATGTTGATTTTACACTGTTTTCAACGAGGCTTGAATTCGTGGACTACACCCTGTAGTTAGTGGAAATGATGATTTATGGACTTGTATGTTTTCGCTTTCTTTGTTCTACCTGCAATGACCAAAGAGGGCACATGTATGAAAAGTTCTAGGGCTGAGTAAAATTGAATAATTTACTCTGAATATTTGACCTTCAAATTGATCGAACATTTGGTCAGACCGGCCGGCAGATTGTTAAACAAACGGTGCACAAACTCAGCTTCTAACTTTTTGGACTATTTCTGGCCACAATTTATCAAGGTTAAGTATATTAAGCGATGCCACTTTTCCCCGAAATTCCATTTTCCTTTTTCCCCCTGCTGGCTTGAAAGAAAGGACCAAAAGAAGACACAGATGGGAGTGCATCAGTTTATTTTTGTTATGCCCCAACTATAGCATCAGCCCCAACTGTAGGCCCGTCCCAACTGTAGTGCTGTAGTTGGGCCGGCCCAACTACAGCACAGAGGTCCAGTGTGCATGTGCCCAGCATGTGCCGAAGTCATATTGTTTAAAGTGTCATGTCACAAAATAAGTGCGATATTAGATGAATTGTGTCAAGTGTGAGATGCATAAAAATGCTATTAACTTGGAAAAGCTTGGGAAATTTTCTACAGAAATTGGGCAGCAATAGTTGGGCCAGCGGCACTGCAGTTGGGACTGTCCCAACTGTAGTTTGGACAAACATTTTAGTTGGGGTGTAATAATATTTTCACCTACTGCTTTAAAGATGCATTTTTTTTTTATGGACACTTTCCTTATATCACATAATGCCCAGAGGGACCATAATCTCAGCCATGGTTATGTAAAGTTACATAACCATGGAGGACCATCTACTGGTAGTGGTAGGTTTATTGTTAGGTTGAAAGTGCCTGAATGCCCTAGAGAGGATTTTCCTTAAACAAAGAGCTGCCAGCTTCAGTGAGTGAGTGAGATCTGTGAGACTAGTACATAGCTGTAGGTTAACTATGTTGCAGCCATCGAATCCGAGGCTGTTTGGTTTTGGAGATAAGTGTTCTTGTCATTTGACATATTCCAGGGTTTAAGTAGTGAATTTTTCTCAGACAAAACTTTTTGTTCACCTCCTCAATGTACGCAGCCTACTGTATTTTACACCCTTTGGGGGCCCTTTGGGGTTATGGTATACATGTATTGAAGAGTGTATTGTTGCAAAAACAATATGGGGCTCAATAGCTCAGTTGGCAGAGCACCAGTACGATATTCCAGAAGTCACAGGTTCAAATCCCGCTCCAGGCTATTTCTTTGTTAATATTTCTAATCATTTATGAGCACCTAGTCAGTTTCCTTATAGACATGTATATATGTAGTTTGTTTGATGTTTTGAATGGTTAACTCAATACCAATATGATCCAAAGCTCTTGCCCTCTGAGGATGTGTTATAAAAATGTGTTAGGCAAGCTGGCTCTCTGGTGACAATACAGCTATTGTTCCCTTCAAATCCTCTCATGCATTGCCTCAACCTGCTCCTTTCACTCATCTGTTCCCCTGACTCCCATTGAGTGCCTTCATCTTTACACCCAGCATCCCTAGCCTCCTCCATTGTCTTCACAATCCTTGCTTTTTAAAAAGCAGACTACCATAAGCTGTACCTCGTTAACGAAATGGAGCCCACCCTTGTTTGATCCTTCCAGCTTCTATTTAACCACAGAGCTATTACCACCTCCATGATTTAACACCAGCTGTTTACATGTATTGTGCTTGAAGTTCTTTTTCCCAGAATTGATTTGCATCTTGCTATTGGAAGCTCAGGAGGATCTATTCATATCATCTCTTGCAGAGTTTTGCCCTGGCAGTGGATCGTCGGCTCTTGAAAGGCCAGCTGCACAAGTAAGGATGGAGCGGTGAAGAGCGACTGGCTCGGAGTCCATCTTGAAGGTTGGATTAGAGCGGCTTGGGGCATGGAGAAATTCCAAGTTTGGAGTCGGCGTTTAGGCATGATGTTCCTTGGTAGCTGCCTCACCATGGGAGATTGTTGCTTGAGGAGAGATGCATCAGTCACATTTGATATAGGTAAGTCTCTGATAAATACTTCATCAAGATGAACAAAGAGATTGTCTAGAGCGGGATTTGAATCGATGACCAGTTTACCTGTCGATAAAACTTTTTCACTTTTGGAACCTGAGAGTAAAACTAACAGCAACTTAATAAAAATAAAGTACAATATTTAATGTCCCATTTTGTTTAAAGTTTGCACTGCCTGCACAACATAAATGTGCAGCTTCCTGCCCCTTCATTTTGCATAAGGAGGGCTCTTCGGGGCTCCCTGAAAACGAGGCTGCCAAGCCTGCATGCAATGCGTGGTGAGTTTTTGGGGTGTCAGGTCGACTCGACTGTTCACCAACTTGACTCGCGTCAACTCGACTCTCGACCAACTCGACCATGCAAACGGTGCAACAGGGACAGGGCATAGAAGGAATGCATTTTTCCTAGTTCTGGATCGCGCATGTAATTCGTTTTACTGTGCGTGATGTGATCTGTGCATGCGCACAGTGTGGTGACAGATTTCGGGGGTTCGTGCGTGCGTGCTTCTCAAATTGGGAAAATTATTTTGGAGTTCATGTATCTCATTGGCACAAGTTCAATTATTGATTGCATTTCAGTTGATTTCGGGGGTTCATTGAGCCCAAATTAGCATCCATAATTTTCGCGATCTGGAACCGATCCGATCTTTATTTTTTCCCTTTTAATATCTACCTTTCAAGGAAAGAGTTTGTTTAATAGATTGGTAAATGGTGGAGTTGACTCGACTTTGAAGTTGAGTTGGTCAACGGACGAGTTGGTTCAATGGTCGAGTTGGTCAGGAGTCGAGTTGGTAAACGATCGAGTTGACCTACAACCGTTCTTGGCCGCATAAGGTACATGTATGAAACTGTGAGTTAATATAAGGCTTCAATCATATTTCTGCAAGCATGATCCTCAGTGGTACATGTAGATAGTCAAAAGATTTATGAGGTGAGAAAACTGGCTGCCCTCTACAAATGTTCCAAAAATGAAAGAAATCCCTTATCGCTTTCAAGATACATGTAGTGTTTATACATGTTTTTTTTGTGGACAGTTTCCATGAAATATCACATAATGCCCAGTGGGATCATAATCCCCACTGTTGGTTATGAAAAGTTACATAACCCACTGAGGACCATTTATTGTTAGGTGGGAAGTGCTTGAACGTCTAGAGCCAGATTTTCCTTAACCCTACCCCCCTAGGCTCCTGCACCAGATGGCAGACTGAACCTCACAAAATCTAACAGGTTCATGTACCTGTCAATGTTCTTGTACATGTACATGCAGGTTACTGTACGAAACCAGATAAACTCGAACAGAATGAGCCCGTTGGATTTGAGTGATATGGTCTGGATGGGTCTATGCAGTATAGGATGACTTGCACTGAACAGTACCAAACCTGACAAAATCAAGCATAGTCCAGCAATTGGTACAGCAAGCCAGACACTGCACACAATGAACCCTGGGTGTCCCAACTCGCACAGAATCCAACACCATCTCCCTGGGCCTTTCATCCCAATTCTCACAAGATTCAACAAGAAGTTCATCAGATTCGGTCCCAAACCTCACAAAACCTGCTGTTGGAGTGTGGCAGGTTTGGGGTCGTTAGGGTTGAACAAAAAGCTGCTAAAGCACTTCTTTAGTGAGTGGGCAAGTTAGACAGGGGATTGGTTTGAGCTACAGGAATATGCAGTGCTGCAACCATAGCATCCCGGGGCTGTTCGGTCTTGGGGATAAGTTGTTCTTGCCAATGTGGTGAATTTTTCTCTGACAAACTTTTTTGTTCATGTCGATATTCTTCAATGCATGCAACCTGTACATGTACTGTATTTGGGGTTTTGGTTAATTGAAGAGGAACATACTGTTTTGAAAACAATTAGAATCGTCCAGGTCTACGACTGAGGGTGTTGGCAACAAAATCTTTGAAAAAAAAATGCTGGCAGTTTTATTGCTCAACGCTACGTTGAGGTGTTCGCGAAGATGGAAATTCAGATGGAGCAGGAAACCACAAAAGGTCTTTAGCAATGTAATTGTGCTGCATAGACCCGTCATGCAAGGTTTAACCCTAACCGTCAAGCATATTGTTTGGCTTAAACTACACAGTACTACAAAATACTAAGTAGTAGTCTGAGCCTGAAGGACCTAGCGCTACAGATTACTACATGTACATGTACTTCTGGCTAAGTTACTTCCATTGTTACTTGTACAGAGAACAATAAAGCCATGCATTCATAGTGCCAGAGCACTGTAAGTCTCTATGGTACATTGTCTTTTCTTTTTTACCTTACGGCTTCAGAGAACAATAAGCGACGGGACTGATTTTACATTTTACCACAACTAGTAATTTGTAGTACTATTTAGGGTTAGGGTTCAAGTGGCTACATCTAAAATGCTGGTGCTGTGTGTTTGAAAGGGACCATGTAATAGAAAGATTTTACTCAAAGCCTTGACATTGCACCTGTGTTTTTCAATTTACCTTATGTCAATTTCTGTCCTGCTTTTTTTTTTCCTCCCCACGAAGTTCCGGTTTTTCCGTGCCTCTTGTGGCCAATGAACTCAGGTTTGCAAATCCAGAACGTTAGAAGCTTTGATTCGATTGTACATGTATATGAAATTTTATGAAATGCGGACAGCAATGAGGCTCTATAAGTACATGTATTGTCGTCGTAGAGTGCATTTCCGTGAGTACAAGTAGACAGAATATTTTTCATATGAGTTCACGTACATCTACAGGTACATGACTACATTATGGATACCAAAATGGAATATTCGAGAAGTATACATAGTGCACGTTGTACTTTTCACAAGTTTGAACACGTTGCTTCTTTATTAACCCTCCTATGCAAAGATGCATTCTTGACACAGTCATCCTATTACTCAAAATCAGTCAAAATTCCCATAGTGTCTGTGTACTGCTACTGGGGCAAATCAAGTGGAAGGCATTTTTGACTGTTTCTGACTATTACAACTGAAGGAGGGTTAAAAAGTATAAAGAAATTTCTGGAAAGTGCTTCAAACCAAAGAGTTTTACCAATGGCTATAATTACCTAGGTATGGTTATATGCACAGCGTTTCTGACACGTTTTCAGAAACTCTCACTTGACGGCACAGTACAGACTAACCAACATTTGGATGTTCGGTATAGATCACAGAAAGTGTGATGAATGTGTCAAATGGAAAGTCTTGTGCGCTTTTTACCACTTTCTCCCATGTTTTATTGACTAAAAATGGAAATATGTAACTTTGAATCCAAACAAGGGAGATCCTGGTGCCAGGTAACTGCAGCAAATTGTTTTGTGAAGACCCTGTGTAAAGTAACTGCAGCCAATCTGTACAATTTTCCCAAAAAACAATACTGAAAATAATGTGCATGAGGTGACACAAAAAAGACACAATAGAGGGGGCGCTCTTGCCACTTATGGTGCATCAAATGGGTGCAAGTAAGCATAAGGACGTGTTTTTTTATCATTGAACTTCATGGGTTGTTAAAAGAGTGTACTGGTCGGCGGCTTTATTTTCACTAGGGCACTTGGGGTTGATCAGCCTTCCATGAATCTTAAGCTAATCCTCCATATGATGCAAGAAAGGGGGCCCAGAGAACCCCCTCCCCGCCTTTGTGTTGGTCATTGTTTGATCCCAATCTCAGGAGTTCCTAACAGACTTCTTGGGGGGATGTGTTACAGTAGGTAACAGTAGTCTAGAGTGTGTATAGGGATTGGACATTTGGGGGGGGTACCCATCTACCCCATATTGTGCATGTATCTAATCCTGTGATAACTTACAATTAAGCTCCTTTTAGCACATGGAGTTCTCCAAGTCCATTTTTATGATAATCTGCCTTGTGATCCCTATGTATGTTCTCCAACTGGACATCAGAGGGCAAAAGCTTTGTACTCCTGGGATAAAGCAGGGTAAACCTTTTGTGCTATCCTTAGTGCCAGTAGAGGTTAGCCTTTGCTTCCTGCCAAGGCAGAGGCTGCTTTTGTTATGTTAATTTACATGTAGTGACAAGGAATGCACCAAATGTTTATTATCTCCCTGCTTCTGAGGCTGCCTAATTAATGTGCTGGACAAGCTGATTGGTCCACTCTCTGGTCACAGCGCAGCTATTGTTCCCTTCCAACCCTCCAATCAATTTCCTTGGCCCAGTTCTCTCCACATTCCTTCCCCTGAGTCCCTTCAGCCTTCAGGCACCTTCATCTTGACGCCCAGCCTTCTCCATTGTCTTCCTAATCCTTGCTTTCCAAAAAGCAGACTACCATCAGCTGTTCCTCGTTAAGAGAATGGAACCCAGGCTCTGTTCGGTCCTCCGGGCTTCTATTCAATGCCAGCCAAGTAGTTCTTTTTCCCAGAATTGATTTGCATCTTGCTATTGGAAGCTCAGGAGGATCTATTCATATCATCTCTTGCAGAGTTTTGCCCTGGCAGTGGATCGTCGGCTCTTGAAAGGCCAGCTGCAAAAGTAAGGATGGAGCGGTGAAGAGCGGCTGGCTCGGAGTCCATCTGGAAGGAAGGTTAGAGCAGCTTGGGGCATGGAGGAATTCCTTCCAAGTTTGGAGTCGGCGTTTAGGCATGATGTTCCTTGGTAGCTGCCTACCATGGGAGATAGTTGTCTGAGGAGAGATGCATCAGTCACATTTGATATAGGTAAGTCTCTGATAAATACCTTGTCAAGATGAACAAAGAGATTGACTTTGGGAGGGATTTGAACGCATGACCAGTTAGGTAAAACTTATCGTTTTTGGTACCTGAGAGTAAAAATAACAGCAAAGAAATAACGGTGAAATACAGTCCAGTGTCGGTAATACTGGGTCAGGACAACTCAACCGTTTGCCAACTCAACTTCGGACTACTCGACTGTTGAGACAACTCAACCGTCTGTGTAAAACTGAGAGACAAGTCGACCATTGAGACAATTCATCCATTGGGACGCTGTCCGCTCAGCCCAGTCGTCTACTGAGGCCACGCTGAAAATAATATACCTCTACATGTACATGTATGCCTTAATGTTGGGATGGAATTTCATGTACTACGTATGTAACCCGCTCCAGGAAAAGGTGATATAAGTTGCAAAAACAAAATAAACTTATTTACGTGACTGGAAAGCCCACATTGTAAGCTTTTGTTTTGTATATGATAGAGCTCCGTAGCCTTTCTCGTTCTCGAGTTATGACATATTTGCATATTAATTAGTTCCAGGCAATTGAAATTGCAAAACTGAGAAAACAGGCTTTGAAATATGTGGCTCTGATGTGGGTTGTAGGCATTTAAATCTTAGCAACCAACATGTTCTTGTGTCACAACCACCTTCAAAATTCGCACAAGGACTAAAAGTATTTTTAATGATTTTGTCAGAAAAAAAGGGTTTTTTAATCCAACGTTGAGCAGGTCATTGCTCGTAAATGCATGGTGTGACTTATATTAACTTTTCCAGGAGTGGGTCACATATAGACCAAAATAAAAACCTACCTCCTCGGTGTTGTCCTTCAGTTCTTTATTCTTGGACAGGTTTTGGTTTAACCCCAACCGCCAAACATGTTGCTTGGCTTACACTGCACAGTACTACAAAATACTAAGTAATAGTCCGAGCCTGAAGGACCAAGCGCTACAAATTACTACTTCTGACTAGGTTACTTCCATTGTTACTTGTACATAGAACAATAAAGCCATGCATTCATAGTGCCACAGCACTTTATGATACATTGTCTTATCTATTGTATCTTATGGCTTCACAGAACAATAAAGTCATGTCCTCTTACAAGCGACAGCGCTCAGTACTACATTTTACTACAAGCAGTAATTTGTAGTATTATGTAGGGTTAGGGTTAAAGTGAAATGTAAACTTCTTGTTCAACAAAACTTGCTCTTGGAAAATTTCTGTAAAAGGAATTTTGGCCAGAATTCTGATTCACAGTTTGACATTTCGGTGGGTAGCATGGGAAAAAATGACATATAAGTCATGGGGCGATGTATGTCACTCACTACGATTGATCCCGAATACTTTTTTCATACTCAACAGTCATATAACTTTTACATCTAATGTCTGTTTAATCAAAATGACTTTAAAAAGTGCATTTTATTAAAACTGGCCGAAAACTGAACACATATTGTTTCCTAGTTTTGGATCATGCATGCACGCAATATACTTTGCAAACTTATCTCGCTGTACCGCACACGGACATTGCAGAAATGTATGTGACGGTATGAGTTCATCAACTATGCGGCACCAGGTATAATCTTTGATGGCTCGCGCTGTGCAGCTGAAAAAGTTGAGTTCAAATTTTCACAAGATCCTATTTTTTTAATTCATTGGAATTTTTATTTATGAATCAAGTTTTTCAAAACTGGGAAAATTTTCATTAGAAAATATGCTTTGATGGTTATCTCTATCACACAAGGTGGACGGCGACCACTGGAATTTGAAGATTTATGTACCGGTAGAGTTGCAATCTGATTGAATAATTTTCGCAATCTTAAGTTGGGTAACGTCTGTATTATGTGAAGAGATTTCACTGGTCGAGTTGTCTCACTGTCAAAGTCAAGTTGTCTCAATGGTCGAGTTGTTTGAACTTTGAAGTCGAGTTGGCAAAAGGTCGAGTTGTCTGACATCCGGTAATATGAGCTCGGGTAAGACGAGACTTCAATTTAGACAAGCATATTGTGCCAGCCCTGAGTGAATTGGGAATGTGCACATTCCTATTTGTATGACAGAAAAAGGTGCATAATACGAACAATTTTTGCGCGCCAACTGCAAATCTGTTGTAATCTATTTAGTTGAAGCTTCTTTGAAGGCAGCCTGTCCATCAATCAGTCCATTCAATTTTGAAATTTGCTTCTATAATTTGTTCGTGTAAAGTAGTACAGCGCTGTGGTTCTCCCTCATCAAATCAAGCCGTTTGTGTCTCATGCCACAAGAGAGACGTACAGTGGGTGTTTCTGGTTCACATACTAGAAAGTCTTTGTGGCAGCTCTCGATATTTAGGACAGTGGTGAACAAAAGAAATCTTTTGTTTGATCCCCTAAAAATTCCCAAGACCTAAGTCCCCCAGGAAACTAATAAAAATTGTGTTCTTTAACCAAACACCCGGCCCCAAAAAATGCGCGCCCCATCAAAAGAATTGTTACCTGCTCCCAACTGTCCCCAATTTGGAAATTTTCAATTTCAGAAAATCATTACTAAGCCTTGGTTTTCAGTCCAAAGAAAATAACATCCACCAGTTTTGAGAAAAAAAGTACATCCCTCGTGAATAATTTTTCACCAAACCCGAACGCCTTTTCAACTTGAAATCCAATATTGGCCACCAATGTACAGTAAACTCTGGCCAATTTCGGATAGTCCATTCCCCAGAGATTTGAGGTATCGCGATTTTACTGTATCTACTTATTGGCATGGTGGCATACTAAATCACATTGACATGTTTAAAAGAAGTGCCCCAAGTTTTTTACCCATCCTGTTGGACCAGATCCCATGTAACTGAAAGAAGGGTAATTCAAGAAATATGGGGTCCATTTTTTCACGTTCTTGTTACATGTACATCTAACATGATTTTGTACATTCTGAACACATTTTCAATTCCCAAGAGTGATGAATTAATAATGCAAATTACCTACCAAAAAATAGTAATCGTTTAAAATCAATGCCGGTGATGTTTCCATGTCAAATGACATAGGTCAGATGTAACAGGGACACAAAAGTGTCGCACTTTTCGACCCCAAATTTCTCGAATTACCCAGAACTTATTTTTGGTCTCTGGTACTTGGCATTATATAGTGTGTGGCAGGGTTCGTTCACCTGATTGACAGGCTTTCAGCATTTCTTAATCTTCACCTCTGAAGTTTTGTTTTACTCCAGGAGTTGTGTTCAAACTTCTCTAAAGTCTTACTCAAAGTTTCATTGCATTTTCTTGCCTTGTACAGGTATGTAGATGCTTCCCATGAGTGGAGAGGTCTGTGCATGGCATTGGCCATGAAGAAGTGACCCTTGGACTATCAGGGTGTTGAAGGTCATTCCATGAAAGTTCATTCCTCCCAGACAGTCCACCCAGAGACAGACCCCCCATGCAGTTGGCAACACATATTGCAGCCTTTTCCTGCCTTCTCCAAGCTTGATGGCAGTGTAGTGCTTCAGTCAGTTCCTTCCTGTGTTATGGGTCAAAACAGCCAAAAAAGTAGATCTGAACGCATCCAACAATCGTAAGTTCATTAAATGAGCATGTAATTTCCAGTTTTCGACTTTCCTGTGGAGTTGGGTACCAGACTGGGCGCGCTCCAACATCTGATGGTTTTAGAATCGAAACGGCGACTTGATGTGTCAGTGGAGGCACAGATGTATATAATGTCACAATTCTTTGATTTTAATATCATGTTTTGTCTGGAATGGAGATTGCTCTAGTCTTGTCAATTTATTTCAAATCAGTCGGTTTCCATTATAATTCCACAAAGACTTCAGTTCTACTTTTTTGGTTACTTTTGCCTAGGGAGCGCCTCATCATTTGGTATGTTAAGCAAAATTCCCAGGTAAGTGGCCTTCTTCACATTTTGAAATTAATTTTGAATTTAAAACATTTATAACCTGACTAAGTCACTGATATAATTATTTATAACTTTACGTTTGAAAAGTTCTGTACCGGAGTCACCCGGAGTGCAATTCTTCCTCGTAAAACGAACCGCAAATAGCTTCACCGTTATAATCTTTTAATGCGTACACGGGTCTTGTTTGCCGCCCACTGCGTTTGGCTATTGTAAATATCTCCTCGGACCAGGATGGGAGGTAGGACTTTTCAAAGGTCAGCCGCCGTTTACTGACTCGAACCGTATCTCCCACTTTAAACCGAAATTTAGAGGGTGGATTGGGCGGCGCATACAGACGTTTTTGGACAGCCCTGAAGAAACCCCCGTTCTATAAAATAAATTGTCTCAACGCTTCTAATTTTTCCGCCTGCTGCAACTCAAAACATAACAATGTGGAAAGGTCAAGAATGGCCATGTCCAAATGCGCGTAGTGTAAAGATAATTCCTGATTTTGTTGCACTTCGTATACCCATGTATCAATACACTCTTCAAATCTATCGTCACACAGCTCCTCCAACATGTCCCTCAAAAACCAATTTAGTAACGTTTCCTTGTCTTCCATGACACATATGTGTTGCGTTTGTGAGGGGTGATCGATTTCACACCCCCCACATCTGCTTGCTATAAAATGAGGAAAAATTAAATTAATAAACATTGCCACGTGTGTGTAGAGGTAGACCGTAGCCTCAGTGAAGAGGTCCTCGTTGGGCTTGGTGGAGCGGGTGCCGGGCTTGGTGGAGCGGGTGCCGGGCTGGGTGGAGCGGGTGCCGGGCTTGTTGAAGCAGGAGCCGGGCTTGCCGGCAAAAACACGTCGTCGTCTGCGTATGAAATACAAATACAAATCTGTTTGTATTAAAACATCGCTGGCATTACAGTAACAAAGACGACAAAATACACGCACATGTACATCGAACGCCGAAACTTACCATCGTCTGACATGGTCAAATCGATCACTCCGTCTTCGACCCGATCGACGTGTTCAACATCTGCGTGTGACAAGAAATAAAGCCATAAGAAACTGGAAGAAACGTATTCCAAATTGAATGTTAGGACCGTCGTACGAGAGTGTTGCATCGATAAGGAACGTAACTTACCCATTTCCCATTGAGCGGGCCCCGTCCAACTGCCGCCACTCCTCCTCGGCGTTAAACTTGGGTCCGAAAAACTGTTGGGCCGTGGCGTATAAGATAGATGGTGCTGAGAAAGCAGAGAGGTGATGCTGTTGATGAAGCTGGCGGCGCTGTTGCTGTTGAAGCTGATGGCGCTGGTGGTGCTGATGGTGCTGACGTTGGCGTTGAAGCAAGATGAATCTGGAGGCCCAGCTCTGCCCCCCCTTTTATCCATTTTTCTCTTCTTTGTTCGTAGCAAGGAAATTTCCCGCCAACTTACGATCGAATTTTCTCGATGGCCGCGTCAATTTCGGGAATCATTGTCTTAAGGCACTCCCACTCCGTCACGGTAAGATTAATCCCTCGACCGGGAACCAATGGAAAGCCCTTCTTTTTGACTTGGTGATCATCCCTTATTTTTACGTAAGGCAACTTNAGTGCAATGATAACTCTTGATTGTGTTGTACTTCGTATACCCATGTTTTTCCGCCTGCTGCAACTCAAAACATAAAAATGTGGAAAGGTCAAGAATGGCCATGTCCAAATGCGCGTAGTGTAAAGATAATTCCTGATTTTGTTGCACTTCGTATACCCATGTATCAATACACTCTTCAAATCTATCGTCACACAGCTCCTCCAACATGTCCCTTAAAAACCAGTCTAGCAGAGTTTCTTTTTCCTCCATGATACATATGTGTTGGGTTTGTGAGGGGTGGTCGATGGCACACCCCCCACATCTGCCTGCTAACATTAAATTAATGAACATTGCTGCATGCGTATATAGACAGATCATAGCCTCCGTGAAGAGGTCCTCGTTGGGCGGGGCGACGGGAACGGGGGCCAGTTTATGTAGAGGGGCGACTGGTGGCTCCTGTGCGAGGGCCATGGCTGGGCTTGCCGGGGCGACGGGTGGAGACGGCGGCAGAAATACGTCGTCGTCTGCGTAGAAAAGAAAATAACACAAATCTGTTTTTATTTCTCTGAAACTTTGCTGGCATTACGCATACAGTAACAGACGAATAAATACACGCACATGTACATCGAACGAGACTTGCCATCATCGGACGAGGTCAGATTGATGACTTTCGCCTCCTCCATTCCGATCAATTCGACATGTTCCATATCTGCGTGGGACAAGAAATGAATAAAGCCAAATAATAAAAATCTGTTTGTATTTCTCCGAAACATCACTGGCATTACAGAGACAAAGATGACTAAATACACGCACATGTACATCGAACGAAACTTACCGTCATCGGAGGAGGTCAGATCGACGACTTCCGCCTCCTCCATTCCAACCAAATCGGCTTGTTCAATATCTGCATGTGACAAGAAATGAATAAAGTCATAAACGTACGGAAGGAACGTAGGTAGCCGCGCGGTTTATGACAGACGGTCGTACGAGAGTGTTGCATCAATAACGAACGTAACTTACCCATTTCCCAACTGGGAGGATACACGGGTGATGCGTGAGGTGCGGGCGGAGAAACAACCTGTCCCCACATAGGGTCCTCGTCAGCCATGGGGCCTCCAGTCTCGCCAACTCCTCCTCAGTGTCAAAGTTGGGGCGAAAAAACTTCTGGGCCATGATGATAGATGATGGTATGCTGATAATGTTGATACAGAAGATGGCGATGCTGATATAACTTATTTGTCTATTTCCTTGATGTATCTTTATTATTAATCAGAATTTATTTGTCTGTTTTCTCTATTTAAGTTTCAAAATTAAACCCTAACTATACAAACACTTATAAAACAACGCAGCAGGGTCAAGAATTCCACAGTACAACCACAACCAATTTATTGCAAACAAAATCATTTAAACGCAAACATTACACTTACATTTGAACTTTACCCATACATCAGTTGATTTGAAAAAAAAAGAACTTTATAAAGGCAACTTCAAGAAGAGGAAAAAACAAACCAAATAAATAAAAACCACCAGCATAGTAAAATTGGAGAAACCCTGTGAAAAACAGCCCTGAAGAACCCTAATCATGTAAAATGAATTCTTTCAGTACTTCTAATTTTTGTGGCTGCTGTAACTCAAAACATGAAAATGTCGAAAGGTCAAGAATCGTCATGTCTGGATGCCTAAAATACAACGAAAGTTCCTGATTTTGTTCTACCTCGAAAACCCAGCTATCAATACACTCCTCAGGCCTGTTGACACAGAGTTCCTCCAACATATCAATTAAAAACATATCAAGTAACGACTCTTTGCCTTCCATTATGCAAATGTGTCGGGTTTGTGAGGGGTGATCGATTTCACACCCCCCACATCTATGTTGTACGAAATCCCTAAAAATGACATTAATACATCTCGCCACGTGAGCAAACATGAGAATCATCACTTCTGCATATACATTATCAGCGTCGGGTTCAGCTACAGTGGGTGGGTGCGGGAGCGGGGCTGTGTGGCGAAGGGCTGACCGGTGCTGGGCTGACTGCCGGGCTCTGTGAAGCTGCAGGTGCCAGGCTTGCTAGGTTTGGACTTGGCAGAAACATGTCGTCGTCTGCGTATAAAAAAAATACAAATGTTTTATTCACGTTTTAAAATTCATTGCTCATGTTACAGTAACAAAGACGACTAAACATACGTACGTATATACATTTTTAAAAAAGAAACTTACCATCGTCTGACATGATCAAATCGATAACTTCGTCTTCCATGGTCAGGTCGATAACTTCCGCCTCTTCATCAAACTCTTGGGCATGATGAGGAACATCCGCGTGTTACAAGATATAAACCATAAACATACGGAAGGAACGTATTCCAAAGTGAATTTTAGGACCGTCGTACGAGAGTGGGGGAATTAATAATATAAAACGTTTCTTACCCATTTCCCATTGAGCGGGTCCCCACATGGGGTCTTCGTCAGCCATGCGGCTGTCCAACCTTTTCCACTCCTCAACGTCAAAGTTGGGTCCGAAAAACTTTTGGGCCATGGTGTCTAAAAATAAATGGTGCTGAGAAAGTAGACGAGAGTGATGGTGGTGTTGATGAAGCTGACGACGCTGATGAAGCTGATGGCACTGATGGTGCTGGTGGTGACGTTGAAGCAAGATGGATCTGGAGGGTCAGCTCTGCCCTCTTTTATCTATTTCACCGGTCTTTGTTTGTTGAATTTTACGCCAACCAATTAACACATCTGGCGCTTTGTTCTACCCGATGTAAGCGTCGTCCACTTCTTTGATGGCTTCATCGATGGCCGGTATCATTGTCTTGAGCAGCTCCCACTCCGGAACCGTGAGGTTAATCCCGTGTTAATCCCAGTGGAAAGCCCTTCTGCTTTGTCTGGTGATAATTCCTTATCTTTACATAAGGTACATCCCGAAACTTCTCGATAACGACGTATCGATCGTTCTTCAGTTTCAAACTCTGAGAAAAGATTAAATCTTTTATGGTTTTCTGCGGCACCTTTGATGACTTCGTCATTCTCTCTTCTGGTTTAATTAAGTCAGGTTTGTTGGAGTCTATCGTAGGTACTTGAGTCCGCTGTTCCATCTCGTGACGACGTTTTGTGCTTTTGGGAAGACTGCCAGCTGAATCCAAACTAGAATTTGGCCTACACTGTGCTTTTGACTGATAGATTTCATCCCGACCCACGGCCATCCTTCTATTTCTGGGATATCTTTTTCTAGCAGGTTCATGGAGCAGGTAAGCATCCTGTCCTCAAAGAAAGTCTTGAATTTGCTTCCGCATAATCTTGTACTTTCCATCTTGCTTGGTGGCGCGATACAACCTGTTTACGCTGTTCAGACCACTTTCGCGACCTATGTTGTAATACAGGGACGTTAACTGCTTTTCCATGATCCTGCCTCATCAAAGTCAAAGTTTGAAATGACCGCTGGATATAGTTTAACCCCTTTTTAATGCCTCTGTTTTATTTCCCTTCTTGATCATTATTATTTATTTCTCCATTTCTCTTATTTGACTAATTTTCTTTATGTATCTGTTTCTTTGCCTAAGTTTCTTTATTTATCCTTATTTTGTATTTTTATCTATTTATCTATTTCTTTGACTGTTTCCCTTATTTGCCTTTATTAATTATTTCTCTTATTTGACCCAAATCAAAATACAAACAAGCGACGCAAACTATTCCCAATAACAACCATTCTATTTCAAACAAAAATTACATTGCACAATTCACCATTCAAACCATTAAGTATACATGATGTGAAAAAAACTAAGAAAAAACTTAGGTAAAAAAAGGAGAAATCATGTGACGACAGCCCTGAAGAAATCCCTAGCCATGTAAAATGAATTCTTTCAGTACTTCT